CTGCTGTCAGCTCCCAGCGGTGAGTGTCTCTGGATCAGACATGGGCACGTGGGGAAGCTGCATCTGAGCCCGTGAGTCACCGTGCTTCTCTCTGTCCACAGGGGTCCTGTCCCAGGTGCAGCTGCGGGAGTCGGGACCCAGCCTGGTGAAGCCCTCACAGACCCTCTCCCTCACCTGCGCTGTCTCTGGATTCTCACTAAGCAGCTATGCTGTAAACTGGGTCCGCCAGGCTCCAGGGAAGGCGCTGGAGTGGGTTGGTACAATAGATAATAGTGGAAGCACATACTACAACCCAGCCCTGAAATCCCGGCTCAGCATCACCAGGGACACCTCCAAGAGCCAAGTCTCCCTCTCACTGAGCAGCGTGACACCTGAGGACACGGCCGTGTATTACTGTGCAAGATACACAGTGAGTGGAAGTCAGAGTGAGCCCAGACAAAAACCTCCCTGCATGGGCGCCCGGACCACCAGGGGGCGCTCAGGGCCCCCCACGTTCAGGACTGCGCCCAGGAGCAGGTGCCCCGGGGGCGCTGGGTTGGAATCTGGTTTTCTTGTCCCGCCCAGCGATTCCTTGGAAACCTCTTTTGTGTCCTCACTGTTCCATTATTGTGGCTTATACTGCTTTCATAAAACCATACATAGTTTTTATTTTTTGTTTAAGTATAGTTGTGTGTTTGTATACATATGTCCGTGTGGAATATGTACCAACACTCCCATGTAATCCAATCGTCAGAATTGTGTGTTTTCTCTGTTTTGTTTTTGTCTTGTCAGAGACGCTGAATACAGCTCTGAGGCTCACCCTCATTTTTCATATGAGTCCAAAGTCATCAAATCTAGTGAATGACCCAAGAAGTCCCAGGAAACTTTTAAATATTACTTTTTGTTGTTTCTGTACATGCTCAGTGAAAAGACACATCCTCCTGCTTTCAGTCTGCCTTCACAAACACTTTGAAGTCTGCAAGTTGTAGTGTTCTAGACTGTAATCTGATGTCCCATAGGAAATTATCCTCATTATTCATGGATTTCATTTTTGCAAATTCACCTACTTGCTAATTTACATCTGTACCCCAAATTTGACCCCAAACTGGATGATGACCTTCACCTATATCCATATCCCCTCTCAGCAGGAGTGAGATAATCTTCATTTCCTCTAGTCTCTCACACCCTGGTTGTGGCCACTTTCTCTCGTTTAAGCAAGGATGTTGCAGGAATGTCCACAAGTCCATCCAGGTGACCGGCTTAGTATAGTATGGAACCAGTAAAAAAGGAAAAGTATCGTGGAAAATAAACTTTTGGACATAAAACAGATTGCCAGGAATATCAGTAGCAAAGATGAATTTATTTAGACCAACCGAGAATTACAAATTGGAGTCTGCAACTATAATGAGTCCTGTGCAATTCCGCAGTAGAAGTGGAGAGACTGTCTTTTGTATCAAAGTAAAACGCGAGGTGGGAGGGCTCTTGTAACTAAAACTCTGTGGTTTTTCTTTACCTGAGTTTTTGGCAGGAAAGTAGAGGTAACTTTGTTCTTGTTGGATTCAGGGATTGTCCAAGGGCATGAAAAGTCCTCCTCCTGTCCATTGGGATTTATTTAGTTGTATTTTCTCTTTCCTCTCCTCCTCCTCGTTCTTATTCTAATTCTTTCACACTTTGCACTTTTGGTCAAGGGCTTCCAAGGTGACATGACTGATAAGAAGAAAAAAAAAAAAAACCTGCTAGTAATAAAGTCTCCTGCCAGTGCCAGACAGTTAGGAGACAAGGGTTCGATCCCTGGCTTGGGAAGGTCCCCTGGAGAAGGCCATGGTAATCCACTCCAGTATTCTTGCCTGGAGAATCCTATGGACAGAGGAGCCCGGTGGACTACAGCCCATAGGGTTGCACAGAGTCAGACATGAATTAAACTGCTTGAAACACCCACACTTTTGTCAAGATCCTTCTCAGAAAATGATCAATCTTAGGTTTTCTAAACTTTTCTCTCTCAGTGACAGGAGGAACTTTCCTGGGTGCAGTGTCATTCAGAGGGAAAGCGCGCAGACTGTCAGTCTGTGATGCCACATTTAGGTAAGACGAGGACTGAGAGGGAGGCTCTCAGGCATTTTTCACCTAAAACCCCCATGTTGTCAAGATCAGACTCATTGGGAAGCACGTGACGCTGTACATTATCATCCGGGTTTGGCAGGAAATGCCCAGGAGTTCTGGTCCAGATGTTGTAGAAAGTGCTCATAACGTATTACCTGAAACTCTGAAATATCATTAAATTCAGGTCGGCTTTGAGGTGCAAGTCCATTCAGGACTCAGCAGTCCTTAATGTGTGTCATGGGAATCCGAGCTCCTATCCTCTGGAGGGTTGGTTAGCACTGCTTGGCAGGGTCCTTTCCAGCGAGGCTGAAGAGCTCTTCTGGGGCTCTTGTCCAGTAGATGAAGGTACCACGTGGCAATATACGAGGCTTACGTCTGCCTCCTGAGAGTCGCTGCGAGGAGACAGCTCCAGAGGATCAGGGGTCAGGAGGTGTCCTTGAGTGTGAAGCAATCACGATGGACGTCACTGGTGATGGGCGTGGAGGGCAGATGAGGAGTCGAGCAAGAAGCAGCAGATAAAAAGACCTCTTGGGGTGAGGTGGCTGACGGAGAATCGCTGACTGTGGTAAAGGGTCGTAACCGAAAGGTCAGTGGCCGTGATGACTCTAGGGCACGGGGACTATCCACACGCCACAGCACCTGTCGCCACCCGATGTGTCCGCGGTGGTCCCTCATTGTAGTGAGAACTCCAAGACAACCCCGTCATTTCTCACAGGACAGGAAACATGGAGATGGCCAGAGGCAGGTGGCCTCTAAAACTCTCCTTTAAAGACTTGAAAGCGCTGTCATCTGTTTGTCCCATGAAATTGGGTTGGGATTGGAATTGTTGAGAGAATCACATCTAGATAATAAAGAATTATAAAATCCAATCTCAACAATAGTCAACTGGCCCATGAAGAGCCTCACATCAGGCATTTACGTTTGGGATTTAGGAAACTTTGGACACCATGAAGCCTATCTGATATAAGCACAGCCCCTTTTGTGATATCAGATACACTAAATGTCACATATGAGTTTGGCACACTGCGGTTTTTCTTTAGTGTCCTCTTGCTCCTTTAAGGATAAAATCTTAATACATGGATGCTGTTTCCAACAAGAAAGTTTGAGAAGTAGAGAAAAGAAGAAAGTCTCCACATGTTGCAACAAAATAGATCTCTTATAACATTGTATTTCATCCAGATCAGTGTTCTGGAATATTCAGAAATAAACAGCTCTCTCAAGAAAGAACTGAAACTTTCTGTTCAGTCACTCAGTCCTTTCCGACTCTCTGCAACCCCATGGATTGCAGCACGCCAGGCTTCCCTGTCCATCACCAACTCCCGGAGCTTGCTCAAAATCATGTCCATCAATTTGCTGAAAGGTTCCATCCATCTCATCCTCTGTTGTGCCCTTCTTCTCCTTCCTGCAATCATTCCAGCATCAGGGTCTTTTCCAATGAGTCCATTCTTGCATCAGGTGGCCAAACTATTGGAGTTTCAGCTTCTCGTCAGTCCTTCCGATGAACCTTCAGGACTGATTTCCTTTAGGATTGACTGGTTTGACCTCCTTGCAGTCCAAGGCATTCTCAAGAGTCTTCTTCAACAGCACAGTTCGAAAGCATCAATTCTTCGGTGCTCAGCTTTCTTTATAGTCCAGCACTGACATCCATACATGACTACTGGAAAAACCATAGCTTTGACTAGACAGATCTTTGTTGGAAAAACAATGTCTCTGATTTTTAATATGCTGTCTAGGTTAGTCATAGCTTTTCTTCCGAGAAGCAAGCATCTGTTAATTTCATGGCTGCAGTCACAATCTGCTCTGAGACTGGAGCCCAGAAAAGTAAGGTCAGTCACTGTTTCCACTGTCTCCCCATCTATTTGCCGTGAAGTGATGGGACCAGATGCCATGTTCTTAGTTTTCTGAATGTTGAGTTTTAACCAAACTCTTTCACTCTCCTCTTTCATTTCATCACGAGGCTCTTCAGTTCTTCTTCACTTTCTGCCGTGAGGGTGGAGTCATATGAGTATCTGAGGTTTTTGATATTTCTTTTGGCAATCTTGATTCCAGTTTGGGCTTCATCCAGCCCAGCATTTCTCATGACGTACTCTTCACACTCTCTATTCATGATACAGGTCTATTTGTCAACTCTGATGTTTGTAAGTTTATTCTCTAAGTCTCTGCTTTGATTCCTGCGTCAGTGTTATTGTTACCGCTGCTGTTGTCAGGACAGAGTTTTAATAAATACAAAACGTTAGAAATGATTTGTGAATCATGTTCGTGAGTTGGCATCTAAAAATTCATTCTGAAGCTCAGGGCACCAAAAACTTCACTCTGCTGACCCAGTCATCTTGCAAAGGAAGTCAGGGCCCAAGAAATGTCCACACGAGGAGGACATGAGGCCCAGCCATGTACTCTGACTGAGCCCCAGGCTGCGGTCAGGTCACCTTCCTTACGTGTGAGTGTGTTGTAACAGGGGACCCTGCAGATGAACTTGAGACCCTCACAGGAGCCCTGCGTCAGACAGGGTGGGCCCTCCCAAAGCACAGAGTGTGAGCAAAATAAAGGGTGACTGTCACCTTAAACTGCCTAATGCTGTGACTGCTTCCTTCACATCAGAAAACACCTGAAAGTTTTAGACAATTCCACACGGGACCCATTTCCCCATTCCATAAATGGTAAGTGTACGGCACAGTCGGATGGGTGACTGGACAAAGGTCACACTGCCATTTGAGGTGCTCTGAGACAGCCCCACGTCAGAATCCAGAGCCAACGTCCTCCCAGCAAGATACAGGGAGGACCTAAGTTCCCGGGCAGGAATCCCGGGCTCCCAGGTAGGAAGACACACCTGTGTGCGTGGAGAACAACACCAACTGGTTACACTTTAGCAGGACCACACTGGCACTGGCGGGGACAGCACTTAGGAGACCGTGACCACCACTACACCTTTTCCCCACTCGACCTCAGGGAATGCATTTCAGCTTAATTTGCTGGTGGTTTTATTCTATCCAGTGGCCTCTGCCCTAGTTAACTTAATATTCTTCTCTTTTAGTCTCTGGGCATTTCCGTCTCTCCAGGGTTTAAATCCACTGCTTGTCTTATTACTGTTACTATCTGATAAATTCATGAGAAAACCATCTACTTCTGCTTCATTGACTGCACTAAAGCCTTTGACTGTGGGTCACAACAAACTATGGAAAATTCTCAAATAAACAGGAATACCAGGCCACCTTACCCGCCTCCTGAGAAATCTGTATGGAGGTCAAGAAGCCATAGTTAGAACTGGACATGGAACAATGGGCTGATTCAAAGTTGGGAAAGGAGTACGTCAAGGCTGTGTATTGGCACTCTGCTTATTTAACTTACACTTAGTACATCATGCGAAATGCTGGGCTGGATGAAGCACAAACTTGAATCAAGGTTGCCAGGAGAAATATTAATCACCTCAGATATGCAGG